CGAACTTTTTAACTATCAACAAAGTCCATAACTGAATTAGACTATTTATATGTGAATCAAAAAACATATCCATCACACCCCTTCTTTTTTTTTTGGGATGTTATATTTTTTGCATACATTCCATTTTTCTGTTTCTGTCGTACATAACGGCAATAGAAAGTAAAGAGCAAAGTGGACATCTATATCAGTCTCTGATTTTGCTAAGCAGTATCATTAGCTTTCGGAGTACAACTACAAATATTTTAAATTGTCTTTCTTCTTCTCTTGGAATCAATGAAAGATATGATATCTTTCCATCAAGTTTAAATAAACAAATTTAACAAATCAAAAGAAAATGAGCATTAATTTGATGATGTAACAAAGGCAAGTTTTTCTTTCCCTTTAAAAAGAGAAGAATAATCAGAATATTAAATTCCCTGGAGACAAAAAAAGAGAGAAAGAGAAGCAAATGGTGATTTCATAATCTATGACTTTAAAAGTACGTATCATGGAAAAACTTTTATTTTTCTCTTTTACCCTCTAAAATTTCTTAATTATCTAAACTACCATCAATAAATATATTATAAATGTTGTTCATCATAAAAGTTCATCTATTTATTGAGCGGGTACAATAAACTTTCATCTCCTCTTTTTTTGCTCAACAATCACCATCCATTACACTTTAAATATATACTAATTAACAAGAAAATAGTTAATTATTAATCATGACTTCTTACTGTTTTGTATTCTAATAACCAAAATGTTATCTAAACAATTGTTCATCTATGCCCTCCTCATCCATTCAACACGTTACACACACATATCTATATCTATACTAATAATAAAAGGCAACTTAAAAGAAAATTCTATTTTTTTCTCAATTAATATTGTAAAGTCAATTTTATCCTTTTAAGTCCAGGTCATTATGTAATATTGATCATTAATGAATTAATTGCATATCTATCTATCCATCTATACTATATATATACTAATCTAAAATATCAGCTAATTTCAAAACTTTAGAATTCCTTTTTTACCCTTAAAAATATAATTATTTCCTCCTAAATCTAACTGTGTTAATTGGTCAGTAAACCTAACGTTAACTCCTCCGCCTAAATCTCACACACTGTGCCCTTCATCTCTTTCATTAACTCCTCTGCCTTAATCTCACAGACAGGTGGCCCTTCATCTCTCTCACATCAGAAGGTAAGGCACACTGCACCCCTTCATCTCCCTCACTTTCGCCTGAAGTTCTCCTCCTTCATCTCTCCTCTTTCAGCTGTACAGACTCCAAACATTAATCACAGCAATGGTTACTATCAGTTATGAATGGGGAGCTAAATAATTACGACCCAGCAGTGTTGCTCTACACTGTGGCTGTTCCCATTGCCAAACCAGCGATACTCTGTTTCTTATGCATTTCATATGAAGCAAGTATGGAATATTTTTAATGATCAACATCTTTGGACTGAAGTTTTTTTCTGCCAAATTCTTAAAGGAGGATCATATTCTGAGAAGTTTTATAAGCTCAAGCACAAAAGTGTACAGAGATTTCTTACTTTGGTTCAATAAAGTTATTATATTGTTTTCGGGATGACAAGCTTATTTGGTCATTATCTCCATTGGGGTTGTTTTCAATTAAATCAGGTTGGGAGTTTATACAATCAAAGAAAGAGGAGTATGAAGTAGTTAAGTTCATTTGGAAGCAAGAAACTTCTCCTGCATTGAAATTGCACGGATGGAAACAATACAAAAGAGCCTTAGCTATTGATGATAGATTGATATCTGTTGTGATTTCTACTTCCAGTTATTGTGTTTTGTGTAAAAAAGAGGCAGATGATAGATTGATATCTGTTGTGCAATTATGTGGCCCGGATTTGGAGAAGAGTGGCCTCTCTTTTGGGCTTCAATTTGATTCCCAATGAAGGTCCTATGCTAAGGTTTATGATAATAAAAAGGGCACATAAGAAGAAATTTTTATCACCCGAGTGCCGGCGGAGTTTTCCTCTGTTTTTCTTTTGGGAAGTTTGGAAAGAGAGATGTATTCAAATGTTTGAAATAAAAAGTTGTTGCCAAATATTGTTTTCTTATGAATTAAGAATTCCTTACATTTGCAAGCAACAAATAGTAAGGCCAACATAAAAGGTGATTTCCAAGAGGAACTGTTGATGAGGAGTCTTAATATCCAAAAAGTGCAATAGAACATAAAATGGATTAGATAGTCTCCTCCACCGGTGGGCTGGCTCAAATTAAATGTGGCTGGTGCCAATAAGGGGAATTTTATTGTGGAATCTGATTCTAAAATTTTGGTTGATATACAAGCCTAGCTGGAAGATATGGTATATATGGGTTAAGTTTCAAAGACTCCTTAATGTTTTAAATTCTATAATGACAAATATTTATCGAGAAGGGAACACAGTGGTAGATTTTTACACAGGTCAACAACTTCTCCAAGATTTTGTTAGTTGTGCAGACATGCGTAAATCCATCTAAGGGATATTCTCGAAAGTTGGTAATATGAACTTCCCAATTGAATAATAATTCAACTCCAGTTGGGTTGTTCACAAGGACCTCAAAAAGATGCTTGGATTTTTTTTATTATTATTATTTAATTTTCTTATTTTATGAGTTGTATGCATTTTGGTTTTTTTTAAAAATTATATTTTTGAAGTGATGTAGCATAAAATGCATTTGAAAGGTAAGACTCATTATCCCCCCCCCCCCCACCAAAAAAAATGTGTATATTGTTACCACATTTTTTTGGATCTAAGGTATGCCTTCCCATAGATTATATGATTTTAGGATCAGTGAAAGATGAGTTTTGGTGTAAATTTTTTGTTAAAATGGAAGGTTGAATTTTTAGAGTGGTAAAAGACTTGCCTTATATGTTTTGAGTGTTGCCTCAGATTATTTGCAGGTAGTGACGTGGAAAAACTAAGGTGTTCTTAAACTTACCTCTATCTGTTATTTGGATGTGGAATGAAATAGAATTGTTTATGGGGCTTTTTCTTTGCTCTCATAATGTCTTAGTTTTGGAATTGGAAAATTGGCGGTAGACATTAACTCAATTATTACCTACCAAAAAACTGTTGTTCATTGTTCAACAAAATGTAAAAGGACTGGAACTCCTTTTGTGACTATGTTCTCTGTCACACATCTGCATATATGTCTTGCATTTTGAGCTACACATCTGCATATATGTCTTGCATTTTGAGCTATTACCTCACAAAGTTAAGGTTTCAAAGTTTGTGTACTCTTTCATGTTCTGTGATGTATTTAAAATCTTGACAAGTTTGTTCAAGATCTAGCCGACATCAAAGATTGGCATTGTAGATTCTTGGTTGGACTTTTTCTACAAAGCTATACTTGACTATATGTTACACCTTCTTCATCTCCACTTCGAAGGATCAGTTGTGGATTATTATGGTGAATGCCTTCAATGTGGGCACCACCATCCTAGCTTAATGTTGTAGTTACAACTCCATCAATGATGGAATTGAATAAAATACTTCATGGACATTTATCTTACCAATCCCCCCTTTTGTAATTTGGTTACAAGTAATGGATTTGGTGCCTATTAGTTTCTCTATGTTTGCTTCCATTTGCTATATGTTATTGCCATGTTCAATTGAATCTAACATGAGCTTGTGTTTTTCTTGATATTTTGTTTGTTTTGTCAAACATTATTATAGGTTGTGAGATGATTGAAGTTGGATATTTTCTTCTTTTTTTTCCGGAAAGTAAGGTTGGATATTTGGATTAGTAATTGATAGTTTAATGGTTAGAGACATTTGAATTGAGAATTGTTATTGTGCATTTTTAATGCGTCACTATGTTATGAGTTCTTCATTTTTTATCATTCTATATTTTTCCTCTTATGTAATGTGGATTGAACAGATTCGAATGTGGATCTTGTAACTAGATTGATTAATTCTTAAGGAATTTTTTAAGCTTTCTTGATATAATATGTTTATTTTTTTGATAATATTTGTCTATTTTTTTTCCTATTTTGAGATGGGCTTTTATATTATTTTTTATATTACATTAATAATATATATGAACTTATTACATACATGAAATATAATTTAAGATAGTCTACGTGCAACGCGTATGTGCACCAACTAGTAAATTCTAAATGTGACCATAGTTCTCATTAGACACATAACTAAATGATGAAAAACAGCACGAATCAATATCACGTGAATTAACAGTCATATCACTCACAGCCACATGAGCCTCAAACCAAAGGGCTCATTCCCACAGTCACGCAAAAAAATGACAAAAACTGCCACAAGTGATCATAAAGGAGAATTGTCAAAGAAATCCAAGTTCCAAAATCAAGCACAAGAGCTATTGAAACATATAAAAATAAATATCCTAATAACTATAAATGAGGAAACAATCGAAAATACGAGACTGGGGAAGAGTGCTTGAGCAAAATCTTTTTAAGTATAAACAGATGGATATTCCTCAGGCACATTTTAGTAGATAACTCAGGTGGAGCTGCAACTAAGAAGGCCAACCCAGCAACCAAGTAAATTTTGTAAAAATTGCCTGTTCTAAATACACCAATCTAAAAATCTGGTCATATGGCATTTTATAAATGTCATTTAACGTGGATAAAGAATAAATTGTCAAGTCCACAAAATTGCTAAAAGAATAATGCCCAACTACTCCTCATTTGCCTCTCCAAGTCTCTCTTCCCTACTTAGGAAAAATCCATTTGTCACTTATTACCACATTTGATTGCCAATTGAGCATTCTCTCTTGATTTCTATGACGTTTTCTCTGATTCTTCCTACACATTAAGAGAAAGTAAACATTCTATTCATCATTTCAACCCTGAAAATGTGTATTTACTGCTAACGTAAAGAATTTTAAGTCCTTTTTTCAAAATTTAATCGAGTTAAACATCTGCTTTTGTTTCTAACTTATTTTCTTAGCACCCAATAAATAAAATACACCAAAAGTTCCGAAAGGGGAATGAATTCATGGGTATGCGGAGTATACTAGAGCAAGATTCAGTTTCCAACTAAACTGGGCAAAAAACCAAACAAGGAATTGGAAAGTACGCCATACAACCGCAACTGAAAATCCTTGTGAACCAGGAGGAAGTCAAGGCAATAAATTTCCCCAACAGAGTATCGACCAATACCATCTACTTACACGAAAATTCCAAGAAATCATCATTTATATGAAAAAACCGACAAACAAACCATCAATTTCTGAAAAACCATCCTACTGCACAAACACATATAGATGCAGAGAAACACAGAAAGATGCATATAAATTTTAAGGAAAGGTACTGACACGGTCACCGACGTTGCATTGGTCGTGTTCATCGTGGGCCATGAACTTGGAGGTACGCTTGACATAGCGATTGTAGATCTTGTGGTGGAAGAGCCTATCCACCACCACCACCACTGACTTCTGCATCTTGTTCGACACTACCATCCCCACCATCGGCTTCATCTTTCTCCTCTTAGATAAAATGATTTAAGATACTGTCAAGAGAGATTTAACCCTAGGAGTAGAACCCTAGAACCACCCCTTCACTCCACTGCAATACAGACTGATTACATTCACGGGTGACAACGGAGGAAGATGAACGCTGGGCTAAATTACATCTAGATCTTCTCAATTTGACAAGGTTAATGCCTTACATTTGATAAATTACACTGAAACCCACTGTCAATAACAGATAACTAACAAACCTAACAAAAGTTGTTAAATGTCTATTTTATTCTTGACAAAATTAAGATAAAACAAAAACTCAAATACAAAACTCACTAACCCGACCCAAAAACAAAAGTCATAAAATATCTCATTTTTTTCCCTCTGTCCCATCTTCATCCCTGCTTCTACGCAATCATCACTATCGAAGACACCAATTGCTCCTCCATCGTACTCTACCCTATTAAATCCCCTCTCCCAGAAGAATGAACAAGGACTCTTCCTCTCTCCTCTGTCTCTCTCGACTTGGTGATGTGGTGGCTGCTATGATTACTTGGGTGGGATCCGATAGTGGCTAAGGTTCTTGGGGGTGGAGGTGGTCTCGACAACGTCGATTTTGAGGGTGTGATTCCAGTGGAGACAGTTGTAACTGTTGCATGGGCATGTGTAACACCCTGCATTTTCTTTTATATATGTATATAGATATATAGTAAATAATTTTGATAAAAAAATATGGATATATGTAGTGATGTGTGTTTGAATTTGGTAGATTGAAAAAGTAGAGATTTAAAATGTTAGTGAAAATAATAGTTGAAATTTGGTTTTAATAAGTGAAAATATGAAATTTTAGGTCCTACAACTTGTATTAAATAGGTTTGGTGTAGAAATATGTTTTGGAGAGATTTGGGATAGATTTGGTTGGCTTAGGAATGAATTGGAAATGGAAAAGGGACGAAGACAGGCTATGAACAGTACACGCGAACAGTACACTGCTGCAACTTCAACCTCGATTTAGACCTTGATGCAGTCAATATCTCTCAAAACTCAAAACATGAAAGTTTTAGAGCTCTTTCGTATCATTCCATAGCATCTTGAATCATCTCAATCGGAGTTTGGATGAGAGAGTTATGCTCAGATAACGAAATAATGTCGAAATAGTCCAATTAGTTTCGTTTTGTATTTAATGTCTCCATTTGCATCCTAAATCAAAATATAAGAATAATGAGTACTTTTAAGCTTCAAATAAGTATAAAAGGCTTTAAGAAACACCCTTTATCACATTTTATTTGCAAACATCGCAAAACTTCATTAATAGCCGATTCGGATGGCTAAAATAGAAACTTTAGTGTTTCGGGTGTACGTTGACTTGGGTGTTGAGATAAATCATAAAAATAAATGTTTTTAGGTTAAAATAACATTAAAAATGAATTCGGAACGTCGAAAAATCTTAGGGTAGTTATATGGATCAAATTGGAGATTTTTAGTGGTAAAACCGTAAATTTGAAGAAATCCAAAACAGCCTGTGAACAGTATTTTTCGGGGCTACTATGTTTTAAACTCATTTTCATCTCATTTGTCTCATTTTCTTCACTCCCCTCACACCCCCACACCTCTTGAAACCCTAGAGGGCATTAGAGAAGAAGAAAGGAAGGGAAAAATAAGAGATTCAAGAGTGATTCAAGATCAAATATTCTTGTTCTTCACTCTAAAGCTAAGGATTCAAGGTAGGGATTTTCTCTCATTCACTTACATTGAGGCTAGGGTATTTATATATGTATGTTTTGACTATCAATGATATATATATGCTATGGAATCATCATCTCTTAGGCTTTTTACAAGGATTACATATTTTGAACAAAGTAGGGTTTAATACCCATAAAATCTCCTTTCTAGTTTTAAAACCCTAATTTTTGGAGAGTGATGTATTTCCTTCCTAATTGCTTTCTTTATTATGGATTTCAAAATCTTAGTGCTTTGTGTTTGGTAGAAAAATGATGTTATTGTGATCTCATGTATTTTCTTAGTTAGTTGTAGAATTGTTATATGATATATTTTAGGAATTTTGGATAGATGCTAGTAAATTGAGATAAATGTTGGAATTGTATGCTTGGTTGGGTTGTTTATGATGCATATGAGTGAGAGGTTCCTTGTAAGGATGCTCACCCCTTCCCAAGAGGTTCCCGGTAAGGATGCTTGGGAAATAATGTAGTGATTGGGTGAGAGGTTCCATGTAAGGATGCTCATCCATTTTCAAGAGGTTCTCGGTAAGGATGCTTGAGAATAAAAGGTGACCTAAAAAGGAGGGTGGAGGTTACCACAAAGTATGCCACTTACCGAAAGAATTGTTGAAATTGGTTATGACAATTAATGGTTATTATTTGTATGTGGTGCTCATTTATTCATTTTAGTAATGTTTTTAAATAAACTTGAGATCCTTTTTAAATGTCACTGCTTTATTTCAAATTATGTATCTATGTTATGTTAAAATTGAGATCGACTGTTTTAAATATTTTTCTAAACCTTGTATGGGTTTGGGAGAATTTTTTTACAGAGCTTCGTACTCACCCCCTATTGCTAACATTTTTCAGATTACTTGCTTGAGGAGGAGGACGTAAGGGTCGAGGAGCCCGCTACTTGGGAGACTCCACGGGACGGGAGTGTGGATCCCGAGGTGGACGCATAGAGCGACGTCCTTTCCTTTTGTACTAGACTAGGACATTCTTTTGGAATATTGTGTAGTCTAGCTTCTTTTATTTATTCCGCTGCGCTTTCTTAATTAATTTTTGAGATGTAATAGCCATGACTTGAGCTTATTCTTTTGGATAATATTGTAAATATTCGTGGATGACAAATGAATTCTTGTTTCTTAAGGGATTATGTTAGTGCTCTCATGATATGAATGGTTTTAGAATGTAATGTCATCCAGGGTGTGTTTTGGGGCGTTACAGCATGGTACAGTGGTAGTTTTAGTGTTTTGTGATAGAGAATTTGGGAATAGAGGTCTACTTCATGGTGGCAGATTTGGTGGGGTGTAAAATTAATGGTGACAAAAAGGCTAGAATGTATATAGTGGGTTTGGATTGTTATGGCTTGGTTAATTGTCTGTGTGGGGTTCAGTGATGGCTTGAGTGTTTTTAGTAGCAGATTTTGGGGTTTGGGGTGTTCTAGATGGTGGCAAATATGGGTGGATGGTGTTTTGGTGGTGGTGGTGGATTGGGGTGGAGTAAGTCTACTGTGTATCTCTCTCCTCCTTCCTCACCCCCAAACACTTGGTGGTTTTTTACAGCAATAGGCACACGGGGTTAGGGTGGAAGGATTGGACGGGGTGAGGGAAAGAATGAGGGTTGATTTTATGCCAGATGCATTTAGGATTTGAAGATGGATCAGGTGTGTTTTAAGGGCATGAATAATTATTGGGTTTTTTCTTGAATTTTAGAGAATTTTATTTAAAATAATATGTTGATGTCATTTAATTTTGACGGCAAGTTGAATGGAACTAACGACAAAGGATGTTTGTGTTACATCCCCCATAGTTTGAGTGGTGATAATTTTATTTTTCATACTTGAGGGAGTCGTGTGAGTTAGTGACAAACCTCAGGGATATACATCCACCAAATGTTTTATTTAATTTTAAGGTTAATCTTAACTTATTCCTGAAAGATAAGTCCAATTTTAAAAATATTAATTTACACCTTAAAAGATATAAATTCGTATCAACTTACACTAGAGTTAGCTCTAATCCACTTTGCTATTAAAAATGTTTGGGATTATTACAAATTGTACTTTCAAAATTTAAATATTTTACATTTATAACTAAAAAAAAATCTCTTCAATTAATATTCGTTAAATACTTGTCAATTATCTCATATCGTGTTATTTTGTGTCATGTCGTATCATTTTTGTGTTGTATTTGAATCGATAAACAAAAATTTTTAACACAAAATATTTTCATGTCGAGTCAATTACGTTTTGTCATATATTTTACATTTATGACAATTTATATAATATTATTTAATATTTTTAAAAAATTATAAAAATACCTATTTTTTGTCTACAACTGTGTTATACATATCTAACTTTAATTTGATAGAACAATCAAAACATTTGTGTCTACCTGTATGCAGAAAATAGATATTTAACAAGTATTGTAAGCAAATAATAAGTATTTTATAATTTTTTAAATTTTAAAAATACTTTTTTCTTCATTAGAACAAAATACAAATACAATTGAGAGCTATTTAACGAGTATTAATAGAAGAAATTATTTTTGCATCATAAATATGAAATATTTAAATTTTAAGGGTATAATTAATAATTAGTCCAAACTTTTTTAATGACAAAAAAGATGGTAGTTAATTTCAGGTGTACATTAATACGAATTTATGTCTTGTAAGATATAAATTGATATTTTAAAATTTTGAGGGTACAAATTAAGAATCAAGTGATCTTTCAATGTCAAAGTTGAGATTAGCCATTAATTTTATAGCTCAAATTATTTATGGAGATTTACAGTTTCACATCTTAAGGTTTATCAATTAATCACTCAGATTCACTGATATTTAAAATATTACACACAGACCTCTAAAATTAATACAAGCATAACACTTAGACCCTTAATATATCTATTAATAAATTACACCTAGACCCTTTGAAGTTTGTAAGCGTATAATAATTAGATCCCTCAAGTTTAAAATATTATATTTAAATCAAAACTACTATAATCAAAAATAAAATATCAAATATTTTAAATTTTACAATCAAAATATATATTCTATTGTATCATTTATTAAAATTAAATAAAAATTAAATTTTTTTTTTCAAAAAATCGTAATCTAGTATAAAATTATACTATCAATTGAAATAAAACTAAAAAAATCAAACAATTGATTTAACTTATTCATAATAGAATATAAATTTTACAACTAAAATTTATGTTATATTATGTCATTTATTCAAATAAAATTAAAATTAGAAATCTAATTTTTAAAAAAAATCACAATTAGTAAATTCTAATGGAT